CATGGGGGAAGCCGCTGCTACACCAGAAGTCCCTGCATGAGAGAAAGCAACACCTCCGGCTGCTTCCCCTCCGGTCCTTCTGCTTTCAGCAGCAATAGAGACTGTCACCTGCTCGGTACGGCCGTCCCACAAGTAATAAATGCTCCTTTCTTCCCAGTTACACAGTTCTCATTCATTTCTTGCTAAACCATTTCATAGCACTCACGTCAAATCTTTCGGCAGCTGCTACCCCCGTCCCTAATCCTCCCCTCTCTTTGTCCGGTCCGGCAGGGCTACCCTTCCCCAGCAGCGTCAGCACTGCCACGGCTGTGCCTCTTTTTCTTTCCTGGCTCACAACGCCAAACCCAGACAAAGAAGTCAAGAAAATACACGTTTAGCAGCTGCGAACAAGCGACTGACGCATTCTCCCCACAGGGAGCAGGAGCGGGTCCTGTGCCATCCCAGCGCATTTCTGCAATAAGTAGCAAAAATGGTTTACTCTTCCCCAGGTACAGAGTTTTTAGAGAGGATTACTCTGAGATGTATCACTTGCAGGAGAATTAGTGATCGCTGTACATAAAGGCACCCAACACTTGCCAAGCATAATTTCATAGTTGTTTAAACTTACACTAAAGGTCGATCATCTAGTTGTGAAATATCTTTGCTGAGAAAATGCAAGGAAGATGATCCCTACAGATACGGTTGGACTGGATGATCTTAAAGGTCTTTTCCAACCTAGACAATTCTATGATTCTATGCCCTGGTAGCTCCAAGGAAATGATGTTTGGGTTAGATGTTGAGTGGAAGATGTTCAGATCTCAGAGAAAATCCATTTGCTGTCGTCAAGCCTTTGAGAAAAGATCTGGTTTGTAGATACTCAGGAGAGAATTGGTAGGGGGTTTTGCATTGGTGCAGAGCAAGGGAACTGTGAAAAGAGTTTTCTGAATGCTTGCTGGTTGACCGAGTTAAATTTTTAATGTACATCAGTATTTCTCACAAGCTGAATTAGGATATTAGGAAGGGGAAAATGCCGGTTGCAGGGATGTTGCTGAGGTAATCTGTTTGTGATGGAGTAATTTTTTTCTCTCCTGGCAGCCTATTGACCCAAATGGTGATGTTAATAACCCAGACAACAAGAGAAAAAAGCAAGCAAGCCTTGGCAGATATGTGTACTTACTGAATCTGTGAGGGTATGCTGCCTTTGCTTCTAAAGTTACAAGGAAGAAGCAGCTTTGGTAAGTCACAGAAAATCCCAGCAAATTCCTAGAAGGGAGAGTTCTTAGAGACATCCCGGTTTTGTGAGGATATGCTACAAAGAAGTTTTCACAGCAGTAGCAAAGCTCTGAAGCTCTGGTGGAGAACACCACAAAAAAGGCATCAGAGGGAGGCCCAAAACCAGGTGAAAAGTTCAAAGTAAAAAAAAAAAAAAAAAAGAAGGAAGAGTTGAAAAAGGGAAACTGAAAAAGTAGGTGAATGTAATTGTGGAAAAAAAATTCAATGAAGCACAGTGCTGCAGCAGTTAGAGGAGACTGAAGCAGAAAAACTTGGTACAGTCAGTGAAGTTAAAAAATATTCAGAGAGAAAACATTATTACCTGGTGAAAAAGGTAGCTTCAAAAGAATCAGTGGAAGCATTTTGGGCAAGAGTAGCAGAGTGATGAACCTACACAGCAATAAACAAACAAAATCTGGAAAAAAATTAGGGAGCATTACGGGAAAGGAAAGCACCATATTATCTTTTGGCTCAGAGGACTGAAAAATAAAGGAATTAGCGTGGCACGATCAAGCAAAGCGAATGCCAGGGTGCTGATGAAGGCATTCAGAGAAGAATGGTATCTAACTGGAAGGTATCATAAGTCGATAAAATCCACAAGTATTGGTTAAAACCCCTTATTGATCCAGATCTTAGCTCAAAACACATCTACAGGAAATTCTGCAAAGGCTGGAGGGATGGAGCATGCTCATGGCAAAAGCAAAAAAAAAAAGGTGAAAGAGGTGGCATCATCCTAAAAACCTGCAAGTGACTCATGGATGATCTGAGAGCTCCTTATTGAAACAATCGGTGAAAACCAGAGTATTCTGATAATGGGGAGTACCTGGCAGATACCAGAACAAAACAAGGTCCTAGATGTGCTTTTGCTAGATCATGCAAAAGCTTCTGAAAGCATGTCATGAAATGAGAATCCAGAAACATCTGGGACTGGGGAGGGAAGTGCATTAGCTACAACACAGTGGTAGGAGAGGAGATAAGAGCACTGTGAAGGCCATGGCACATGACTTCTCGTCACCCTTCCTCCGTGTTGTAACTTTGCTTCTATTATTTGCAAAGCTGAGACACACTGAGAAATGTTATTTAGTGACAGAAGAGGAAAGCCTATCTCATATCTACTTAATACAACAACTTGAAATTACATGGTCAGGAGGAGGCAAAAATTAATTTCCCAGTTAAAACTGCAAGGCTTTTTTGAAGGAAATAAGAAATTTATTTAGACAGAGCAAGCCTGTATACATTTCACACCAAAAAAATCCTGTTCAAAGTATCACAGGAGATCGAAACAGGTCCTGGGGTGAAAAAATCCATAACAGCACTAAACATAAATGTTAGGAATTCTTCAAAAGATTATGATAAAAAATGAAGGTGGCTTTAAAGAAAGAGTGCTTTCAGAGATGTGTACAATTCCTAAAGATATTTCAGCATGCAAAATACATTAAAGGTATTAAACATATATGCCATCCACTGCAGCGAGAAACTGGGCCCAGGGGAATTGTACAGCAGGAGAAAGCAAAAGTTAGCACTGAATTAAGCAATAAACATGAACACGGATGTGAGAAAATCCTTTTGTTGATCAGAGGATGATAGAGGAAAAGGGCTGAGAATAGTCAAGGATATCACAGAAAATGAGCATATGGTGACAGTGAGCTACATCAGAGAGAGAGTACTGTCTAACTGGGTCTCGGGCAACGCTCCAGGACTGGATAGGAAAGACGCTTCTAAGTGTCAGCCTTTAGATAGAGAAGACGCACAGGCAGGGTGGATTGGGAAGAAGCTACATGGCCTTTGGGTGACTTTTCTCCTGGTATATAAAACACTAGTTTTCCTACTGGCATGTCTATAATCCATTCCTTTAGAGCTTTGTATGCATTAAATGTTCCTAAAGAGGCACTGCTTCTGGTAGTTATTTGAACACATCTTGAGGCAAGAATACTTTCTTTTTTTAATTTTTTCAGCAATGTCAACAACATTGCAAACACATACCTATCTCACACACATACCATTGTGTTTCTCCAACTTTTGGTTCATCTGACCATGTGTGACCTGCCAAGGATGCAAACCTCTGTCTTCTCACCTATTGAGACCTTGTGAAATTTTGACTCCCAGAGAAACCACCATTCATGGTATGAAAAACCAGACTCTCTCTACTACTACATCTTATCCTACATCTTATGCTCTGCTGTGACTCTAGATCACCACGAACGCATCCCACCATTCTACCTGCCATCTCCCCCTTTCCCTAGCTCCCCTCCAGCCTTTGCCTCCTATGGGGCAAAATCTGTTTCCAAAGTAAGGGTACATTCACTTCGATTTGCAAGGCAGCAGAGAGACAGATGAGTTAGTCAGGCTTCCCTGCCATGCTAGGTTACAGTAATCTAAGAAGCTGGGTGAATTCAGCCTCGTCAGAGTTGGCTTGAGACTCTAGCACTGCTGGACCAGTTCCTTTCCTGCTGCTCACCCACAATTTAGTTTCTCAAACTGCTTAATCCCAAAGACCATCAAGCAGTATCTAGTGGACCTAGATAGTTAATCTAGTGGATCTAGCGTTAATCAACAGCAAGAAATACATTTGGTACTGTGGATGACACAGTATTTTTGCATGGAATATAGACTGCAGACCCTGTAACGTGATATCATGTCCATTAAACACAGCATTCACAAAGAGCATTGAGAAAGAAGAATAGCTAAACCATCATGCAGACTTTATCTTTTGTGTCACGCTCCTAAGTAATCTAAGCAACGCTGATATGTATGCCGGTTAATGATTTGTCCTGTTAGGTACAAAATGCTCCAAAACTCTTGCGCTGGACTCCCCATAACCCAAGTGCACAGAGAAGTTAAATAGGGGTTGTCCTTACAAAACTGAGTCAGGCTTTGTGCCAGTTGACTCGCAAGCATTGTTTGAAAGATTAAAATAACACATAATTGCACCAGCTCTCTAAATCTCACCAGGGCTCAGAGGATAAATGCCTTACCTCATTATGTTTAAATGCTCTATCTCAATATGGTTTAAAACAGAGCAGAGGCTCTGAGCTGCCAATCTGCTCTACTGTTCAGAGAAGAGAAATACTGCTACAGACTGGCATGTGGGCTCCGGCAAAGAGCCATGCTTAGCATTTGGCTTTCCTTCACTGTCCCCTGCTCCTCAGCTCACTTGCTTCCAAGGATCATCACTTCACCCAGTATGACTACGTGTCAGCTCCAATTGAAATGATCCCTTTTCTCAACAGACAGTGTCTCTGCGCCTGAAGTGCAATGTTATTTATACATTACAGACCACATTCCTCCTGCCTAGCTCATGCTGGTGGCTCCCACTGCCACCAGTGAAGAGCACCAGCCAAAGCGGCGGCTTGCCTATCTGAAGGCATCCTCTCAGAGATGAGTCACGCACACCTCATTTGACTCTCAAATAGGTGGAAGTCCCAGCCTGCGCAAAGGAGTCAGGGCTGGCTGGAGTCAAATCAAAGCTGGTTTTGCTCCAGTAGGAAGAGATGCTCTGAGGAGCCAATTTAAAATGGGACAGAAGCCCTGTGAGAAGCCCCAGACAAAAGCCCTCCTCTACCTCTCTATTGTTTCTAAATTACCAACACATTTGGAACATACAACAAAGGCGAGGAGACTTTTGGGGCAATTGTACAAGCGATACCAGTAGGCATTTCATGTAAGAGTTAGTCTAAGATGCTTGCATGTCAAATTTCCCACCTAACCCAGCAACGCTGATCTGCATGGCTTTCCTGACTATTGCTTACCTCTTTTAACTTGTCCAGCTCATTTTGCAGTGTCTGCTTGGATACTTCCACCTCAATAATTTGCTGCCGAAGGATTTCATTTTCATCTTCTGCTTTAACACGTTTCTCCTCCACGCTCTCCAGTTCATGGTGCAGTCTGACAGAAACATCTTTGGCTACCTGGTAGAAGAGCACAAGCACATGAAGAAGATACATGAAGAGCAACAGCTACAATATGTGTCCTACTGTAGGAAGCATATTACAACCCTAGACACTCAAGAGTTTTTTAATTCAGTTATGAGTGTTGATGAAAGACTCCAAGCCTTCCAAGTACCAAAATGAATATTCATTTCTAATAAAGAAATCCAAGATGAAAATATATTTGATTACCCGTCTCCAGCTCCCTCTCCACATTATGCTAAGGCAATGCCGTGAACAACAGGAGGAAACAAGCAGATACCAAACCCGCACATCAAAGTCCCAGCATATCACGTTGATAAAAACAAAAGATAAAGAATTGTGCTGTAAAGTTGACAGGTCATCGATCAAAGTCTCATCCACCCAAATTCGCTGCTCTAGCAGCAATCACAACTATGCAAGAGTGATATGAAAGCACAGAAATATAAGCTAGCTTAGGTTTCCTGAGTCCAGCCTAACAAGAATAAATACTTACTCAAAAAACATTTGGAAAGGTGATTCATCACGCAAAATGACGAATTACCGAATTACAAGTCAGCAAAAACAAAGCAAACAAACTAAAAAAAGCTCAGTATCTCTTTCACTCAAATCTATGTATAAGATTTTTACTGAGTAATGTATCATTTCTATTATGATAAGGTTATGATTTGTTTTCTATCATAAAAGAGAAAATTAGGTCTGACATTTTGAAAAGTTTGGTGACTTGATATGTCACTCTCATTTCCACTGCTGGGAACCAATCATTCCGGTTTTAGAAGGTTTTATGTTTTGCATTTTAAGCACAAAACGCTTAATAATTCTAGTGGTAAGCAGTCCATCTCTACAGAAGATATTTTCAAAACAGCTACAAGATAGCAATACAGGTAAAGATAAGCATTGTACCATAGGCCTTAGCCTTGATGAAAACATTTCTGAAAAGTAGAAAAACTGTTTCAGTATGAACAGAAATTTTACAGGAATTTGTGTTTTTGTGGGAATAGCATTTTGATTCTCTATCTGCCTTGCTTAAATATTGTAACAGTCTGTTCCTGTTATGAGTAATTCATTAGGCACTAAGAAATGCAACTTTGACTACATTTTTCTTCCATTATTTGGCATAAGCAAGAAGAGAAAAGGAAGGAAATGGCATGAATTGGGAAAAGCATATCAGGTTTTGTTCATGCAGTTTTGCAAAGCTAAGGTTTTCAGTAAAAACAGTAAACCAAACCCCTTTAAATCTTTCAAATGCACAAATATAACTTCACTGCATTTCTTTCGTTTTTAATCTAAGCACATGGCCTTTTACTCACTAACACATCTTTTTATGATGATAAGCTGCATATTTTTTCTCCACCACAGAAGAAGGAAATTGGTCCTGATGTTTGGAGAACTACTGCCTGTTTCGTGCGTTGCCCTCCCTTCCATTGCAGGGAGCCAAATCCCGGTCTGCTCTCTTTTGCTCTGAATAGGAATCTTTCACCCACCTTTAAATCTTGCTCCAGGCTCCTAATGAGCTCTCCGTCCACATGGCCTGTTTGTGCAACTTTCAAGCTTTTCTGTTCCGCTTTCCTGAGACGATACTGCAGAATGCGGCAATTCTTGTTTGCCCGGTCCAGCTCTCGCCGGAGCTCCTGCAGCTGGTAAACATCTTCCTCTAAATAGCTGTCACGCATTTCTTCCATTTCAGCCCGAAGTTCATCCAACTCATCCTGTGAGAAGTCAAAACAGTGCTCCATCATACCTCTCAATCTCACCCATGGGAGCAAAATAGGAAACACACTCACTAGGATACCATACTAATGAAGTGATACAGATTGCAACATGCAGCTCCAGAAGTCATAGGAACCAAAGTTTTATCCCAACACTGACTAATTATGCTGAACTCAATTAATGAGTACTTGTTATATTTCTTACAATTGCTTTCATATTTAAAAACAGACCAGATGCTTATCTGTCTCCTGAAACTGGTAACACCTTCATTTTACCATCTCTAATTAAAAGAAAAAGCGCATAATATTTCTCCACTATCTGAACTGGTTCCTTGCTTTATTTAGACTACAGTAAACCTACTTAACTAAGTACCTCAGCATCTCTGTGTGATCTGCCTTTTTAGCAACCAGCACTTCCTAAAAATGAAATTATCCCTTGAAAACTTTAATGAGTCTTTAACACCAAATACCAAACAGCTCCATTTGAAAATGCTGTCCTGTCTGAGCCCAGCACCGCGCACATGCTTAAGGACAGATGGGTTGGGTGCGGGACAAAAGTGGGTTTCTGTTGTGTGCACAGACATTTCAATAACAGGACCACAGGGACAAAATAAAACCTGCGCCCGGGGGAATAACCTGGTCATTCTTTTCTGGGCATCATGGACTGTCCCAATTCCACATTATACCGTGAGCGGCACATGCTCTCTAAAGTCAGATTTAAAGATTTACGGCTGAACAGGATAACCTCTATCATTCCCATTTGTTTAATCTGTACGTGACTGAAGCTCCAGAGCTAAAACTCTTATAAAGGTCTTCCAAGCACAGGGCTACAAGCCATTAAACTGCTGCGTGACAGGAAAACTATGACTCTACTAACTTTGAATGAAGTTGTGGAGGAAAAAAAAAAAATTAAGAAAAAGAGCCAGGAAGAGAATATTTGAAATGAACTATTCATTCTTAAAATGTTGTCTTTAAAATTGCACTTGATATTATAAAGACCAAATTTTCTGTGGAAAACACAGCTTAAATAAGATTCAAGGAGAACTTGCACTGGGGCTAGCTGCACTGTCACCTCACTTCAGATCTGTAAATGACACTTAAAATACCAAGGATGGCTGGAGAGTATTTCACACTTGTATCGGGTGGAGAAGATGCTGCTATGGAGTGAGCTCCCTTGGCAAAGCTCCCCCCCCAGGCTGGACCATCCCTGTCCAGTCCCTCCATGAACATGTCTGCCTACCACCTGCTGGTAGTCCTCTCAACCGTTCCCCCTTCCCATGGCCTAACTGGATGGATGGTTGTGTTTTTCCCTGTATTCATCTTGTTCCACTAGAGATTTAGCAACAAATGAGGGACAGATCTTGTCTCTGAGCATAGTCCTGACCAAAGGAAGACGTGTTGAACTTCTTTAGCGTCGCTGGTTATGTTAGAATTACAGTGTTACTCCTACCAAAATCCCATCCACATATAAAAACTCCAGTATTTATACAGCTATGTTTTAACTTTAGTTAGTTGAGCCAGCATAAGTCAAATTTGGGGTAAGCAAAAGGCTTGTTATTTCCAAAATGACCACTCTTAGCAGTGAGACTTTGCTCCACCAGTACAGCCTTCCCAGGGCTCTAAGCAGCTCTCTCTAGTTGCTCAGAAAGGACACACAGGTTTTCTCAGAAGCCCACTGTATCGCTGTATGTTCTCAATACAGTCAGATTTCTGCTGTAGGGGTATCCTGTCCCAGAGTCTCCCTGGGAGATCTGCCGGAGTAGGATATTTGTGTGGATGGATACGCTCAAGGGTGACTCCCCAGTGAGCTGGATCATGCTCGCACCATACACTGTCTGAAAAGGAATGGCGTAAGCACAGTAACAGAAGTTACCCTTGCAGCAATGACATCCTCAGAAGTTGCAAATACATTCATTAACCACAAACAGCAGACTGCGAGGCAGCAAACGAGCTCTGCAGACCAAACCCAGCAGGATTTTTCCAAAACAATTTATGGTCCGAGCCCTGTCTACTCCTCCTCAGGATACAGCCAAATACTCGGGCCAGCTTACAGCCAAGACAGTGGTGAAGTTTTAATAAATGATTGATATTTTTAAAAAGAAAAACATAGCAACATATGATTGAGCAAACTGGGGAGGAGACCTGTTTTCCTTTTTAATGCACATACTTTTTTACTATGCTTCACAGCTACACACTCTTCCAAGGGGTAAAGTAAAAGTTTACCCAGTAAAGATGGAGATGCAGAAGAAAACATCAAGGTTTTAGAAATCGGTTAGAGAGTAGCAGTGGCTTTTGAACCTAAGAAAAGGAGTACGCTTTTGTGTTACCAGTTTATTAAGTAGGTATTTTGGCTAAGGTACTCATACCAAAAGTACAGTCTTTACCTGTCAGAGATAATACAGTCCTCTGGTATGAAGGGGACCAGAGTTACTGCTTAGGGCTGTCTGCAGACTCAGGAGTTGAATTACCGCAGCTAGATTTAAGTCAATTAACTTTTTTATATCATCTTTGGAATGCTAATGTAAGATAAATAATTTGGTTGTAAATTTGAGAATTTTGAAACACAACTCCACAAAAATGGAAAACATCTGTCATTGCCAAATTAATGGGATCTGGTTTATGATCTGATGTTTATATTTAAGAACTAAGCAATGGCTTTTGTGTATTAAGCGGCCAGCAAAGAGCATTTGTAACGTTATTGCTCATCTCTTAAATTTCCTTCTTATCTATATCAGGATTTGGAATTAGTAAATCTGGTTGTTTTCTAAAGACAAATAATCCACAATATTTGACTTCAAAGCATTTATTACAACCACATTTGGAAAGTGAAACTGTCGTGGCTTAACCCCAGCTGGCAACTAAGCACCACACGGCCACTCACTCACTTCCTCCTGGTGGGATGGGGGAGAGAATTGGAAGAGTAAAAGTGAGAAAACTCAGGGATTGAGATGAAGACAGTTTAGGGAAAGCAAAAGCTGCGCACGCAAGCAAAGCAAAACAAGGAATTCATTCCCTCCTTCCCGTGGGTAGGCAGATACTCAGCCATCCCCAGGACAGCAGGGCTCCATCACGTGTAATGGCAACTTGGGAAGACAAACGCCATCACTCCGAACATCCCCCCGCTTCCTTCTTCCCCCAGGTTTACATGCTGAGCATGAAATTATATGGTCTGGAATACCCCTTTGGTCAGTTGGGGTCAGCTGTCCCAGCTGCATCCCCTCCCAGCTTCTTGCCCACCCCCAACCTCCTCGCTGGCAGGGCAGTGTGAGGAGCAGAAAAGGCCTTGACTCTGTGGAAGCCCTGCTCAGCAGTAACGAAAACATCCCTGTGTTATCAACACTGTTTTCAGCACAAATCCAAACCATAGCCCCATAGCAGCTACTATGAAGAAATTTAATTCTATCCCAGCCAAAACAAGCACAGAAACTCACATAATTTTAAACAACCCAATCTCTGAAACAATCTTCCCATTGAATATTCCCAAAGCCTCCCAGTGGGCATGGGAGCTCTCCCAGCCTTAAGAATCACTCAGTCTCCATTGCAGACGTGAATCCAATGTCTCTCCTCCCACCAAAGAAGTTCCCCAAAGAGCTGTAAGCGTTGGTATGAGCTATATTTCAGGAGATAGGCCTGTCTTTTACCTCCAGGAAAAATGAAGTCTTCTCAATCTCCCTTAACAGCACAACTCTGACCTTGCAGATAAACTAAAATTTAGGATACAGTCAAGAAAGCTGTACTCTAAAACCTCGCACAGCTCTCAGATTTCTTTTTTTTTGACTGAATTGAGCTTTTCCACACTTAATTTTTTTCCTACTCCTAAACCTTTCATCTAGAAATCAGACTGTGTCCCAACCCCTTGTATTTAGGAATACAACATCCTTTGAATGAGCTTTAAAACATGGCAGCACACATGCAAACACAATGAAGGCACAATTTTGACCGCATAAGGAGCAGAAACCTCACCGTACGGGCCACATGCAGGGCCGTTCTGCTTCCTGCTGCACTACTGGGGAGCCTGGGGCTTGGACCTACGTAGTCTGTCCAGCCCAGGGAGCAAAAAACCAAATGGGACAGATAAATCTTTCTGAGTAGCACGATAAAGTCCTATTTTTATATACTAAAAATATATATACAGGAGCATGTCACCTCTGAAACGTCAAAATATAGGAAAACGGTATGTGGTTCAGATTTTGTATGACAGCACACATTTATGGATGCTGGGATAATCTTTTAGTAGTTACAGTGAAGACATAATCTTCCTCTCGATATAGGCCACAAAACCAGTGGCAAGGGTATAGATGCTTCCAGTTCATAACAGCTTATTCTCCTCGGTAGGTGCTCGTGATTCTGCCATAGACGCTGAAACCTTGTGTTAGCATCGCCTAAGTCAGAGCTGTTACAATTACACCTACAAAACCAGGACAGCTTGAACTCTTCTTCTAAAGCGATGCGTGCATGCACAATGGGGGAAGCTAAGTTAAAGACCCAAGGAAGTGGAAATTACAACTGAAACTATGATGGTCCCACTTACTAAACCGGCAAACCTACGGCTTTGGAGGAAAACATGTCAATCATGAGTGAAATCAAAGGTAAATGCAGAAGAGCCAGAAACTTAAAAATCCCAAACTCAGTAGTTCGCAAAAAAAGATGCTTTGGCTGAGAGGCAGTTGGAAATACTAGATAAACCCAATTCCTGACTTCATTAAGATATATTGTTCTTCTTACTATTATTATTGTGAGTGAGAATTAAAGCTCTTCCTCTCAGGAGGCACTGAGCTTCATACCATGGACTTTAATATTGTAAATCTGAAGAAAGAGATCAGAATAGGCACTTAAAAACAATTAAACAAATAAGAAAGCAGCCATCCTTCTTTGTGCATCTAAAAAATGGAGAGCCTGCTCCCTACCTTAAACAGGGAGGACCTGCTCCAGCATCCCAAAGTGGAAATAGAAATTGGGAGGTTAAGTGCTGGCATAAGGAGCTTCACTTTGCTATATGTTCCTGT